ACGGCTGCGGCGGCGGCACCAGCGGCGACGGCTGTGGTGGCGACGGCGGTGGCGGCTGCAGCGGGGTCGACGACTGCGACAGTGGGGGCGGAGGCACCGGGGAAGGGGGACGCGGCAAGGACAGACCGGGGGTACCACCAGAGTCAGCAGACTCCTCAACGGGGACATCCGACGGGAGGGGAGTGACGTGAGAGACACCAGACAGAGCAGGACGAGGCGGGAGAGGGGCAGGGGCTACCAGGGGAGAGGGAGCAAGGAACAGGGGGGGGGCGACTGGGAGACCTCGGTGAGGGAAGCGGCGGTAGAAGGAGACTGACTTGTCAAAGGTAACGTCACGAGAGTGGAGGAAGCGGTGAGACGGCGGGTGATAGAAAAGCCAGTCAGACGAGTCCAGGGGGAAACCGAGGAAGACACAGGGGACAGTGCGGGCAGTGAGCTTGTCCGTGCCAGAGGCACGAACGTGAGCAAGGCAGCCCCAGACGTGGAACGCAGACGCGTCACCGGGGGACCCGGTCCAAAGGAGGGTCGGCGAAACCAACGGCCGCTGGGAGCGTGGCCACAGGTTAAGCTAGTGAGCAGCGTAGCGAACAGCGAACGGCCACAGAAAATGGGGGGCATCGGCATGGATCATGGAGGTACGGGCGACCTCCATGACCAAGCCGATGCGGCGCTCAGCAACCCCATTCTGCTGTGGTGAGTCCGGCAAGGTGTACGACTGGGTGATGCCCTCCGCACGACAGAACTGTCCAAGCCGACCAGAGGCGAACTCGCCGCCACGGTCGGAGTGGAGACACAACACGGGGAGATCGCGGTGGAGACGCGCAGCCACAACCCACGGGAGAAGAACGCCAGGCACGTCGGCCTTCCGCTCCAAGGGAAACACCGTGGTGTAGCGCGTGTAGTCGTCCACGAGCACAAGGAAGTAGCGCTCACCGCGCGGTCCGGGGACGGGGGCAGGGCCCCAAACGTCCAGGTGCAGGGTCTGAAGGGGGGCAGTAGCTGGGCGCAGCGAGGAGGAGTGTGGGGCACGGCGGAGCCGGCCCTCGACGCAAGGCGTGCACGGTGGCGCAGTCGAGGGAGGAAGGGCGGGGAGCGACGCAGGGAGACCTAAGACAAGGCCGTGCTGGGACATGTGACGCAGACGAGGGAGAGCAGGGTGACCTAAGCGGTGGTGCCAAGAAGGGACAGGTGAGTGAGGGAACGACACGAGCAAGCTGCAGCAACCTGGGAGGACGCACCAACCGGGGGGGAAGCGGTGTCTAGGGTAAACAAACCGGACACAGGGTTTCGGGGGAACGTCTCAAGGGGGGAACCTGAGACACCCTCAGAACAGACAGCGAACCGCTCGTGCCCGGGGAACGTGGTGGTGACGCCGAGGTCCTGGAGACAGCCGACACCAACCAGGTTCCTCGAGAATGAGAGAACGTGGAGGCCTGTAAGGGAGCCCGAGGGAACTGCTGGACAGGGAAGGGACGTAGAGCTTCGAGCGACGACAGGACCCGCAGAGGGGTCAGCGAGAGAGACGACAGCTGGCGTAGCAAGCGGCGTGAGCGCGGAACGGTCGCGGAAGAAGCAGGCAGAAGCACCGGAGTCGAGAGAGAAGGACAGCGCCGCAGTGGCGGAGGCAGGGAACGGAGCCGGTGCAGAGACGAGGCTAGACAAACTAGGCAGTCCTCCGCCTGACGCAGCAGGGGAGGCTAGGCTACACAACGGTGCAACACCTAAACTAGAGAACACAGGATAATAAGATCCAGCAACACAAGCAGTGTCAGAATACAAGGCATGCAAAGCAGCACCTATCTGATCCATGTCTAACTCAAAGATCGGCACGCCCTGGCGGAGCAGGCTGTGCCAGTCAGGGAGGTCCGGGGCCGGGCCAAAGCGACGACGAAACAGATCGTCGAGGCGGCGGAAAAAGCAGGCAGTCGGGTGCGGGCGGCGACACAGAGTGCCGCGAAGGGGCCCAGTCTGAAGCTGGTACTCACAGGTCACAGCACCGGAGCCGCTGGTAGACGCCAAGCTGCGCGGGCCGCCACCACTGCCACCACCTCCTGAGGTGCCGGGCCAACCAGGCGGGAGGCGAGCCCACTGCTGCGGGGGCTGCGGCTGGGACGTCAGCTGCTGCTGGGACGGCGGCTGCGGCGCGGGCTGCTCCTGCTGCGGCTGGGGCTGCTGCTCCTGACCACCAATGCTAGTCCCCCCAGACGGACTACTCTCACGACCACCAACACCACTACCTGCGCCACCACCCCTACCACCCTGGCGACCACGGCCACCGCGGTGCGAGCGCTGCTGCGGGTGGACTGCAGCAGCCGTCTCAGTGAGGGGGGTTGCCGTGGCGACCGCAGCCGAAACGTTAGTGAACGTGCATTAGGAGGGGGCACAGCCGTGAAAGATAGAGACTGCCGGCGCACCGCTCGACTGAGCGATAGTGCGCTTGCGAGTCTCGATCTCGGTGAGGGTGTCGACAAAGGCAGTGAGAGTGAGATCAGCCGGGTGCAGGCTAAATCGCGAGCACTAGCGAGGCGGTCTGGCAGGCGCATGGCGATAAAATAGAGCATCATCCAGAAAGGGGGGGGGAGCGCAGTGAGCTGGGCAGCAGTGCTGGCAGTGCGATAGCGGGTCTCTAGGGCACGCAGGTGAGTGGCAAAGTCTGCGACGGTAGGGAAAGCTGCAAGGTCTGGGAAAAGCATAGGGAAGAGCAGGCGACCAGCAGAAGCAGACGCGGGTGTGGAATAGCGGGCAATAACGGCGTCTAAGTAAGCTTTGTCGTCTCAACAGTAGCAAAACGCGAGCGCTCAGAGACAGGGAGGGCGTGGCTAATGGCAACCTGAGCGACTGCATCTCGGGAGTCCCAGACCACACGGGCAAGCGCAGCAGTAGAGAATGTCTCACGGTCATCAGAGGAGGGATCAGCAGGGAGGGGAGCAGGTGCGGGGGGGCGGGGGAGCAAGCCGTCGACATGGACAACCAAAGAGTGGCCATCCTGGCGCTGACCTGTAAGGTGGCGGCGGAGATCGGAGAGCCAGGCGGCGAAGTCAACCGCATGGCCCTCGGCGTCCAGTCGGAGCACGAAGTCCGCCATCGTATAGGGTCAGCGGCACAGCTCCACAGGAACACAGCGACGCAGGAACACAGCGACGCAGGAACACAGCGACAGCCCCCTCCAGCACGGCGGCCGCGAAGCGCCTCAGCACGGGCGAGCAGAGGAGACGGAGCCCGAGGCGGCACGGCAGGACGAGCCGGGGCGAAGGGGCCAGGCAGGTGCTGGCGGGGCCAGGCAGGCGCGGCGGGGCTAGGCAGGCGCGGCGGGGCCAGGCAGGCGCGGCGGGGCCAGGCAGGGGCGGCGGGGCCAGGAGGCGCGGCAAGGCCAGGCAGGCGCGACGGGCCAGGCAGGGGCGGCGGGGCCAGGAGGCGCGGCAGGGCCAGGCAGGTACGGCGGGGCCAGGCAGCGCGGCGGGGCCAGGCAGCGCGGCGGGGCCAGGCAGGCGCGGCGGGGCCAGGAGGCGCGGCAGGGCCAGGCAGGCGCGGCGGGGCCAGGCAGGCGCGACGGGGCCAGGCAGGCGCGGCAGGGCCAGGCAGGGGCGGCAGGGCCAGGAGGCTCGGCAGGGCCAGGCAGGCGCGACGAGGCCAGGCAGGCGCGGCGGGTGCTAGGAGGCACGAGGGGCCCAGGAGGGGCGCGACGGGCTAGGAGGCGCGACAGGGGCCCAGGAGGGGCGCGACGGGCTAGGAAGCGCTACAGGGGCCCAGGAGGGGCGCGACGGGCTAGGAGGCACACGGGGTCCAAGAGAGGTGCGAGGGGGCCTAGGAGGCACGAGGGGCCCAGGAGGGGCACTACGGGCTAGGAGGCGCGGCAGGGGCCCAGGAGGGGCGCGACGGGCTAGGGGGCACGACAGGGGCCCAGGAGGGGCGCAACAGGTTAGGAGGCGCGACGGGGGCCCAGGAGGGGCGCGACAGGGCCTAGGAGGCGCGGCAGGAGCCCAGGAGGGGCGTGACGGGCTAGGAGGCGCGATAGGGGTCCAGGAGGGGCGCGACGGGGCCTAGGTGGGGGCGGCGCGACGGGGCCTAGGAGGCACGGGCGGAAGCGGTAGGTGGGGGGGGGGGGTGTCGAACCTACGGGTGATACCATGTCGAGAAGAAAACTGAACAAGTGTTGAATAGAGAGAGGGAGAGAACAAGGGTATATACCTAAGAGTGTTGTACCCTCTAAGAGGTGACCCTATACAGTCTATACAAATATGAGTCATACATATATTTGACAGTATATTACCAAACAGGTACTTCTAGCAGGTATAAGAGTAGCTTGTATGACTTCAATTATTAACTTGTTGAGTAAATTCTGGTCAACACTTACAAGTTATAAGACTTCCGCTGTCTTACTAGTCTACCATTCCAGCAAAAATCCTTGCTCAAGTCTTGAAGTATCACAAGGCTGTAACATTGATTCTGGTGTTACAACTTGTTACTTGAGGTACTTCCAGTATTACTTTCCGTTCAAGTACTTAGTCTACTTCACCACTTTTCAATTTCTTACAAAATTGATGTTCAAATCATGCAGGTGTGTGTATCTCGGCAGGACAAGATGATTCCAAGGTGCGTATCTAGACAGGCCCGCTTTCATATACTGAGCAGGTATGAACTGCAACGATTCCCTTGGCATTGCCGAACAGGGACCATGGCAGGGAGTCTCGGCTTGGGAGTCTTGACAGGTTGCCGAAGCTGCTGGGCTCGGTAAGGAAGTGTCAAGAGGGCCTTGCCTTACCTAATCGACGGCGCAGCATCTTGCGGTAGAATTAAACCTGAAAATCGACGGCGTGGCTGCGATGACTACGCAGGGCTTGGGACAGAGAAGGCCCCTTGTTTTGTTCCCACTGGCTACACAGGAAAGGTCGCAAGGGGAACCTTGCGTTTGTCGCGTCGCGTCGCGTGTAATGAGACCCTCAGAGCAGCGCACAGGGAATGCCATGTTTCCTCCAATAACCGACTCCCACCACTCACGATAAAGCGCAGCCACTTGTCACTCCTTCCACAGCTTCTTCTAACGCTTCCCCTTCCCAGCCGCCACCAAACAAAGCAACGTCAGGCTGAAGTCTTGATCTGAACAAGTCGAGCACAACAGCTCGTTGACTGACTCACATGTGCGTTGAGCAGCGCCCGCCTCTTCACTGTGACCTGTAGTCATGTCTTCGCCCGTTCGCGTGCCACTCATACTGCTGGCCGTAGCCATGGCGGTCCTCCTTCACACGACCACGGCGGACCTCCTGCTCCGGCCAGAGCGCGTGCCTAAAGCGCAGTTCCGCATTCGCTGCAACTTCAGCCACGCGCTGAAGGACGACCCCATCGTCTTCCCCGGGCAGCCCGGAAAGTCGCACCTGCACGACTTCCTCGGCAGCAAGATCACCGACGCCCACACCACCGATGGTCAGTACCGCCTATGCCGCTCTTGCCTTTCCTAAGTTCATACGGGGTGCCCTCTTACCCAGCAGGACTCGGCGAGGGGCCCGTTTACCATGAACTCGGAATTAAGTGCCCCGAAATCCATCACTCGTCCTTCCCGCACATCCACGATAGCGACATTCACGTTTCCAGCTTTCCGATGCCCTCCGCTTCAACTCAATCTGTCATTGCTCTCCTCCCACCGTGCCATGCGCCATGCGCCATGCGCCATGCGCCATGCGCCATGCGCCATGCGACCTGCGACGTGCGACAGCTCGGAAGCTGGTGGGCAGCAAGACGACGTGCGGGTTGAAGGCGGACTCGGCGGCGTACTGGTTCCCGTCCATGTTCATGCGCACCAACGAGAAGAACGCCCAGGGCCAATACGTCTACAAGCACGTCAGTCCGCGGCCCGCTCTACCATCCCTGCACCATTCCCCGATTCTCTACGCCGAACGAATTGCTGAACGCAGAACTGGTTTACATATGAATACAAGCTACCTCGCACTTATCAGGACTATTAGTGCACAGCTGTAAAACTGTTGACGATGGTTATCAACCCGGTGGCCGCAAGTGTCTTCTTCGTAAGTCCCCAAAAGTCGTCTCCAAGCCAGTTGGACTGATGACGTGCCGCTGCATACGTTCTTACGATTCCCTCTTGTGCGTCTGCATGGGATCTCTCCCTCCCTCTCTCCCTCTCCTTGGCGCGGCAGTTGAAGCCCAACTGGACGCTCTTCTACTACCGCACGTCTGTGAAGAACCCCGAAGCCATCATGCCCTTCCCGCGTGGCTTCCGCATGATCACGGGCAACCCTTTCGCAGGCAACGTGCGCGCACCTCGCCTTAATCGCTCTTCCATGGTTTACTTGACATTGCTCTCACTTGAAACATTTCGTGTTCTTGTGAGCAATTGACCCCTACCAACGCCCCATGCATGCCCTCTCCGTCTGCCCCCCATCACAGAAGCAAGCTAACGACATGGCGAACGTCGAGTGGTGGTGCGGCGCGCGCGGCAAGCACGGCAACGACTTCCCGCATCAGAAGTGTCCGGCGGGCGACCAGCTGATCGGCAAGATCAACTTCCCCGTGTGCTGGGACGGCAAGAACACAGACAGCGCGGACCACCGCAGCCACGTGGTGCACATCCCGCTCAACACGACGTGCCCGTCGTCGCACCCGGTGCCGCTGCCACGCATCAGCATCAAGGTGTACTACCCCGTGGACACAGACCTCGACCTCACGTGGCCCGACAACGGCATCAAGGGCAACCCCGCCGTCTACCTGTCCACGGTGCAGAGCGGTGGCACGGGCAGCCCGTTTGAGTACCACAGCGACTTCATCAACGGGTGGGACCAGAAGGTGCTCGGGCGCCTCGTGCGCAAGTGCATCAACCGCAACAAGAAGTGCCTCGTGCAGGAAGACAACGTGTAATGAGCCGGTGGCAGGAAGGCTGCATGGTGGGCATTGGGGTGTGAGAGCATGATGGGAGTTAGGGGGGGGTTGGGCTTGGTGGAGAGCACAGGCGAGGTCACGGAGGTAGTTTGTTAGTCTCTATTGAAAGTAGAGGGTTATCGGCGGTGGTAGCTGTATGCTAGGATTTCAGCTGTTCATGTTTTGTGCTTGATGTAGCGCACTTCGCCCTACAAAGTGGATTGCGCGAACGCTTGAGAACGTTTCCAATACGATTGAACTGAACATTCTGCAGAATAATGTTGCACCAGGGGAATTCATTCGCCTTAGTATGAAAGTTAACGAATGACTAGAGCAGCGTGATACAAGGGAATATAACCTAGTGGGTTGTACTCTCTAAGGCACAACCGTATGAAGTCTATGACATACAAGATGTTTGACACACCCCCTAGACTGGATAGGGGCAGTGCTTGGTGAGAGAGAAGTCGCTCAGGGTGGCACCACTAGTCCAACAACTGAGACAAGGGTCTGAAGTCCAGTCAAACGAGTACAGACAAGGCAAGAGCAAAACCAGGGCGGCACTACTAGTCCGGCCACTAGAAAGTGGCCACAAGGCAAGTCAGGGTAATATTTTTATATAAAGGTCTGTTCACAACAAGGTCTTAGCAAATGAGAGGCTACAGGAACAAGACCAAGCTGTACACAGTGCCGTTGATGATCTTTAGGCGCAAGCGCCTTCGTAAAGATATCAGCCGTCTTGGCACCCGAGACCAAGTGTACTACGCGGGCCTGGCGACGCTGCTATACCTCACGCAGGAGGAAGAACCGCAGCTTGATGTGCCTCGCTCTGCCCTCGAGTCTGGGCTCCTGACATAGGAGGATCATGGCGCTGTTGTCAGCGTACAGAACAGGGGCAGAGCTAGGCCGCTCACCCAGGTTGGTGAGCAACAAGGTCAGCCAACAAAGCTCCTGTGCCGCCATGGCACTGGTGTAGATCTCAGCCTCAAAGCTAGACCGGGCAACAGACGAGGAGCAGGTGGACCTCCATGAGATGGCACCTGCACCAAGGCTAAAACAGTACCACTGGGAGGATCGGAGAGTCTCGGCGTCGTCTGCCCAAGAAGCGTCTGTGTGCCCGGTAAGGAGTGTAAGAAATAGAGTTGAAATAATTGATTAGGTAAGGAGCCGAAGGCTCTATAAGTGCATGGCAAGGTGAGAAAGAATGGATGAAGGGGGAATTGGAGGGAATCCCCATTGGGATCTCCGGAATCTCCAATTGGGTAATTGGAGATTGTGGGTATCACAATTGGGTGAGGTTGGGATTTGTGAGTACACCCCAACCCACCAAAACATTCACAACCTAAACTAGGATATAAAAGTACAAATACAAAAGTGGTATTTGCAGTCTATTTCTAACACATCCCCATAGACTGCAAACCCGGTCAAGGAGCACATAGCCCCATGGAACGGAGAAGGCGATGGTGGTCAGCCTTGCCGAGAGCCTTGGTAAAGAGGTCGGCGAGGTTGCAATCTGAGGCGATGTACCGTACCGTCAGCTGGTCACTCTGAACAACATCTGGGATGAATAAATGACAAAGTTCGATGTGCTTGGTGCGAGAGTGGAACACAGGATCCTTGGTGAGATGAATGGCATTCTGGTTGTCACACCACAGGGTGGGCGACTGCTGGGGGTAGCCTAACTCAGCGAGGAGAAAGGAGAGCCAGCGTGCCTCTTGAGCAGCCATTGTGCCCGCGTAGAGCTCGGCCTCGCAGGACGACAGGGAGACTGCAGAGGACCGAGTGGAGCGCCAGCTGATGACTCCGCTTCCAAGGGTGAAGCAGTACCCTTGGGAGGAGCGTCTGTCAGTCTGGTCATCGGCCCATGAGGAGTCTGTGTATCCCTCGAGCTTGACTGGAGAGGTACCACCAAGAGTGAGGATGTGAGACTTGGTGGCTTGTAGATAGCGGAGGACCCTCTTGGCTGCAGACCAATGCGAGGCAGTGTAGCGTCCGGGGGAGACGTACCGAGAGAGGACACTAACCGGGTAAGCCAAGTCTGGTCGAGTGCACATCATGGCATACATGAGTGAACTGTCTAGCTCAGGGTACGGGTCCTTGCAGGCGTCAGGAGAAGGAACTGGAGGGGCCGTGAGCTGATGCTGTAGTGGGAGTGGAGTGGAGACAGAGTTACTGGAGTCCATGTCGAACCGCTTGAGAAGGTTGTCGATGTAGGACTCCTGGGAGAGGGTGATCGTGCAAGCCTGGTGGTCACAAGTGATCTCCATCCCCAGGTAGTTCTTGAGGTCACCAAGATCCTTCATGAGAAGGGCGGAGCTGAGAGCAGACTGGACAGCTGCCATGTCGGCTGGATCTCTGGCGGCTAGAATGAAGTCGTCGACGTAGACGAGGATGTAGAAGAGCTCGGAGGAGTGACGAACGAAGAGACTGGAATCTGAGGCAGAGGGATGGAAGTCAAGTGCGAGGAGGACTTCCTTCAACTTGTTGTGCCACTCACGAGGAGCCTGCTTGAGGCCATACACTGGGCGCTTGAGCTTCCACACTGTGTTGGCAGGGTAAGTGCCACGAAACCCCGGTGGGCGTTCCATGTGAACATCCTCCTTGAGCTGGCCTTGGAGAAAGGCGGAGGAGGCGTCCATGGACTTGATCTCGAAGTTGCCGCGAGCGGCTATATCAAGAAGAGTGCGCACAGTCGGGAGCTTGGCCGTGGGCAAGAAGGTTTTGAAGAAGTCGAGATACTCCTTCTGGGTGAAACCCTTCGCCACGTATCGTGCCTTGAACAGTGGAGCTTTGCCTGGGAGTTGTTTGACTCGGAAGATCCATTTTCCGCCGACGATGTTGACACCGGAAGGGGGAACAACATCGTCAAAGCTATTGTTGCGAATGAACGCCTCGTTCTCCACATCCATTGCTGCCTTCCACTCCTTCTTATAAGGCCCCGAGAGAGCTTCCTCTTTTGTGCGAGGAGTCGGAATGGTCGGGTTCTCGGTGAAGTTGAGGGAAGGGCAGTCAGTAATGTCCGGGAAGATGTGAGAGAGAAATTGGCAGACCGCGTGAAGGTCAAACAGCTCCTCATGCCTGTCCTCCAGAAGTGCACGGGGGGGAATACGGATGGAGGGGGCATCACCCCCGGCAGGAGGAGGCGGGGTGACCGAACACCGGATGGAGAAGGCGGCTGGTCCCCAGGCGAGAGGCGGAGCCGGTCCCTTGGAACGAGTGCGACTAGAGACCGGAGACGAAGGCGGCTGCGGTGGGACCGGAGGGACTGGGCGGCTCCGATAGGAGACTGGTGAGCCGGGCTCGACGCGCGGGGAAGGCGGAGCAAGAGGAGGTGCCGCTGCGGAGGATATTGGGGAGGCCGGGTGAGACACGCTGGACGGAGAAGCCCCCGGAGAAGGGGCAGCGGCCGGAGGTGGGGCATCGAAGTCTGCCCAAACAAGCGTCGGGGGAGGTGGAGGAGGCTCGCCCGTGGTCGCAGAGTGGAATGGGCGGGTCTCATCGAAGACGACATCACGGCTGCGAATCAGCTATCTGGTGATTGGGTTGAAGAATAAGTAGTCTGGGGAGTCGGAGTTGTGCCCCAGGTACATGCAGGTCTGGGTTTTGGGACCAAGCTTGCCACCTTGCTTCCTGTGCGTGTGGGGGCTTAGCAACACATACGCGGTACACCCTCACACGCGTAGAGAGCGGGCGGAAGGCGTGACCCCAAGCCAGAGAGCGGTAGGTGTGGTGTCGGGCCGGTGGGGATGCGGATAAAGATTGTAGAGGAGGGCCGCATGGAAGAGGGCATATCCCCAGAGTGACCGTGGTGCGTTGGCGTGACTGAGGAGGCAGCGAGCGATCTGAACCAAGGTGTGGTTGCGGCTCTCTGCAATGCCATTCTGCTACGGGCTTTCGGGGAGCGTGAAGGTTTGCCGAATCCCTTGGGCCGCACAGAAGTTATCGAGTTTGCCATTGCGAAATTCCCCCCCGCCATCAGAATGGAGGCACTTCAGAGGAGTGCCGAACGTGACTCGAGCCTGGCGCACCCACGTCATGATGACATCAGGTGCCTCCGCCTTGGTATGCAGGAGGTGCACAGAAACATACCGCGAGTGGTCATCGACTAGTGTAAGAAAGTACCGATGACCGCCTCGGGATGCGACTGGAGCTGGGCCCCAGACATCCATGTGCACTAGGTCCAGCGGAGCAGCTGCGACGGATGGGGAGGAAGGATGCGGCTGCTGCCTGAGCTTGCTCTTGGTGCAGTCCAGGCAGGTGGGTGCAGGTGAGTCTATTGGTGGAGGAAGCGCCGACGGGAGGCCAAGAAGAAGTTTCTTGGAAGCGATGTCGGCAAGTGTACGGAAGTTGGGGTGACCCAAGCAATGGTGGTAGAGGATGGTTGGGTTGGCGAAGCTGCGACACGAACACGGAGTGGTGCTGGCAGCTTGCGCTTGGGAGAGGGCGGCGAGAGGTGCAGGTGAACGCAGCGTGTAGAGCTTGCTACTGTTGAGTGTGAAGCGTGCTAGGAGCTTGTTGGACTTAGGGTCGAAGAGGTCACAGTGATCTGAGTGTGCTGGAAAGATCGTGGTGACGCCTGCCCGTTGGAGCTCGTGTTGGGCCACAAGATTGTGGCGTAGTGTGGGAACACACATGCCGGTGACACTGCCCGAAGGAAAAGCTGGGCACGGAACTGTGGAGGAGCCCTTGGCATGTGTTGTGAAACTGGAGTCTACTCCTAGTAGACGGATTGGTGTCTCGTATGGCTTGAAGGAGTGTTCTTCCTTGAGAACCGTGTGAGTGGCCCCACTGTCGAGGGTGAACTCTATTGTGGCTGAGGTGCTTTGTGAGCCAGGATACTGCGAAATCGTCTCATTAATCATGGCAGTGCCAGGGAAGAACATGTTGAGGCGCACATCAGCAGGTGCAGCCACAACAGCCTGCACGGATTCCTGCGCTTCGACTTGATTGACTTGGCGAGGAGCACGATTGACCATCCAGTTTGGCGGCTTCGAGGCGGTCCCATTGACAGCATACCACTCGTCATCCTTCCTCTTAAAGCAGGAGGCAAGGGCGTGGTTGGTGCCGCCACACACTTGGCCGGCACGAGGGCCGCGCTTGATGACGTAGGGACACGGGGGGAAGCGGTTGCGCTGGAATGGCGCCGAAGCGGCATAGGCTTGAGGCACGGGAGCGCGGATTGCATTGGCCTTGGCTTGAGCGCTGTTGTCCGTTTCGGCAGAAAGGAGCGCGGATGAGACCTTGGCAAATGTGAGGTCTGCAGGAGCAAGGCCCA